TATAATGCGGCATTCCCCTTATACCTTAAACGACAAAGAATTTTTTGATGAGACTTAATAAGAATATTGACTTGCTAGTATCGGAACTATTTCTTGCACGTTTATTGCCAAAAGTTCTTCAACGGCTCGGCGCCAGTGAGTCAATCGCAATCGTATGCTGCGAATGCTGCATTATACGAAAGCCAGCCTTTCGACATAAGGTACTATTCCATATGAACACAAATATATTCGTTTTAATAATTTCAAATTGGGCTCTTAGAGGAATTTATTTTTACAAACATTTTAAAACCCGTAATTTTGTTTACTTGGCTAAACTTGGCTAAAAACTTCTGTGGCAAAACTGTCCCTTCTTGGCTAAATAAAGTAAAAGAGTAAGCTCCTTCAATATGAATTTACAACAGAAATGATCAGCGTCTGGCTATAAAGAGAATCGATGTTCAATTAATTAAAAAAGCTATAGGTCTTACCTTTAATTAGATAAGAAATACGTAAGTATCCTAGATTCAAACACTTATAAAAAGACGGGGTGCTTTTTTAAAAAAATAACGATATTCTGATCCCATTCGGCTGGCAGCCACGACGTTGAAAACAGAATTTTTTTCAAAAATAATAATTTATTTTCCATATCCACCTGTTTAGCTCGCGGAAGAAAGTATTAAAAACGGATTATAAAAACTAAAATCGAAAAACCCTGATGAAGTTACAGATTCCCCAAATTCTGAAACAGCCAAAGGAATGAGAACGAATTTTTGGTGGGTATCGCCGATCTAGACGGGGTTAGATCGCCGAAACAACAGCCCTTGGTCGGGTAAAACCCGAGTCATTCCGGTACGTAGAACCGGCTGTCGTGGCACTTAACGCCATAAACACCCAGACAACTCGTGGCCTAAATCGAAACCGCCCCTGTGAGAGAACTGTCCTAGTAGCGCTGGACTTGTCAAAGGCGTTTGACACCGTCTGCCATTCCACGCTGCTAGAAGACATTGAGGCCTCCTCTCTCCCACAGGGACTGAAGCGATGGTCGGCGAATTATATGAGTGGTCGACAATCATCAGTAATCTTCAGAGATCAAACCTCGAAACCAAGAAGAATAAAACAAGGGGTTCCACAAGGTGGTGTTCTCTCCCCCTTACTTTTTAACTTCTACATCTCGAAACTCCCCCAGCCACCTGAAGGAGTTTCCCTGATCTCGTACGCTGATGATTGTTCGATTTTGGCGTCTGGGAATGGAATTGATGACCTCTGCTCAAAAGTAAACGGCTATCTCTCCAGCCTTTCTCGCTTCTTCACTGCAAGGAGCCTAACCCTCTCCCCAACGAAATCAACGGCGACCCTCTTCACCACCTGGACGAAGGAGGTCAGGCTTGAATTAGGCATTCACGTCGACGGCACACCAATACCGACGGTGAACAACCCGAAAATTTTAGGGGTTACCTTTGATAGCCTGCTCTCTTTCTCCGCGCACACAACCGCAGTTGTCAACAAAGTACAGAGCCGCAACAAGGTCCTCAAGTCGCTCGCCGGCAGCACTTGGGGCAAAGACAAAGAAACGTTGCTGGCAACATACAAGGCAATTGGCCGGCCGGTTCTAAATTATGCTGCGCCAGTTTGGTCGCCGGGGACTAGTTGGACGCAGTGGACGAAGCTACAGACTTGTCAGAACGCCGCACTCCGGACAGCGACTGGGTGCCTTCTGATGACGCCTGAGCACCACCTACACAGTGAGGCCCAAGTGCTCCCCGTAAGGGAACACAACAAGATGCTCTGTAAGCAGTTTCTTGTGGGGTGTCACAGAAGTGAACACCCCAACAGACCACTGCTGGAGGAGGAGCCTCCGCCCAGGCACGTCAGGGGGCACCTATTCATGTACAAGGACGCAGTCCAGACCCACACAGACCAACCACTGGACCCAATGACGTACAGACGAGCGTTCAACGACATTCATAGGGAGTCTGTCTCCACCTACCTCGACTCCCGGCCTAGGAATGTCGTTATCGGAGCCCAATCACCACCTGTGGAAGAGACGGAGCTTCAGTTACCTAGAGAGACCCGCGTTACCCTGGCTCAGTTACGGTCTGGATATTGTAGCCGCCTAAACAGCTACCTGTCCAGACTCGACCCAAACATCCCAAATGAGTGCCCGGCATGTGGAGACTCCCCCCGCGACACCAACCACCTCTTCACGTGCCAGCTCAATCCGACTCAACTAACACCCCTCTCCCTTTGGTCCGACCCCATCGAAACAGCTCGTTACCTGGGCCTACCGTTAGTTGAGCTTGACGATAATGATTAAAAGTTGACCCGAAACAGGCGGGGCTTAGTAGTGCCGCTACAACAACAACAACAGAATGAATTTTTTTTTAAAGCTTTAGAAAAACCTGACATACGATCTCGCCATTATGCTTGATTCTAATTGTTTCTTATAAATACTTGACATCCGCATTCGCATCCGCATCCACGGATGTTAGCTATTAGATATTCGCATCCCCGGATGTCTAAAATTCCACATTCGCAGCATCCCTACTCTGGAGATCTATGAATGCTTCGTAATTGGATTTTGTACCAAACCGATATTACTACTACCACCTGAAAAATAATCTGACTAAGAATTCACGTCACCCTCTGGCTACAGCGGCCAACGACACATATGCACCGGTTAGAAAAAAAAAACAAGCTAGCAAGCGCAAAATTTACGCTCTTATGTAGGCATGGCACTCAGTACGGCAATCATACCAACTACGAGTACATACATATCGTCGTTTAAAGTACAAAACCGCGTATCCTCATTCTTCAAAACCGCGTAACTGGCATTGGCTGCCAAAAATTGGATTTACTCACACAAGCTCTTGGCTCAATCCTTATCCATTCATCCTGAAATATACTAGGCAGAAATGCGATTTCTTTATAAAAAAGATAACCATTTTGAAATATGATTTTTTACACTCTAGAAAATAATTTCTAAAACTTCACATACGCGGTTTTGCATTTTGCTGATACGCGGTTTTGCATTTTGTTGATACGCGGTTTTGCAATTTAAACGACTATATGTACATATACTTGAAAATAGATAATTGTGTCTCAGTCAAGCTGTTTATAGAACTTTTCTTTCTGTATGCAACTCAAACCGACCGGCGTTCTTATTCATACCAAAATTAATTCCGCGGAACCCCGGTGACTTCTAGGGAATTCTTGGGTTCCGCGGAGCACACTCTAACAGGCCTATTCTGCTTGTAACCGAACATTTTGTGACAAGCTAATTTTGTTACCAACAATTGTCACCACTTCTTGCAACCGCAATTCTATTTACCTTGGTAACGTTTTAATTTATTCAGCAATTCAGCTATGCACCCTTATGCTGTAATCCGTCGTAGATTCGATTTTGCTACGAATCTTAAAATTGGTATGCTGTAATCCGCGTTGCCGTATGGTAATTTCGAAATTCGGAGACCATATTCGAAATTCGTAATGTTGGTATGCGTGAATCCAACGTAGCTGTAATTTGTATGTATTTGTCGGAAATTTTCTACGAAGAGCAACTGGTGTCGGAGCGAAGCGAATTCTTTTAAAATATCAATAAAATAAAGTGTGGAAACGCAAAAATATGTATGTAAGTTGAAGTGTGAATAAAAAACAATAGGGCTATTCGCGATCCGGTGCAAATGGCCTAGCATCATTGCATTGCAAATTTGTATTGCAAATTATTTGCAATACACAAACAAAATACACGCATTTGCATTTGTCATGGCTTGGCAAATTTGCAATACCGAAAATCCATAGCATAAAAATGCTATGCATTGCATTCATAAACAAAACCAAAGCTGATGCACAAAAATTGTTTTGCAAAAGCTTTACCATGACAGTTTAATAAAGGTCGCTCACAATCCATGGCATATTTCTGCAATTGCATAAATTTGTCAGCTGTTATGCACCGAATTGCGAATAGCACTAATGTATTATTAAATGTTTACAAAATTATCAAGTCGACAATCACAACAAATCGCTCGCAATACGAAAAACTGGTGAAATGCATGAGCGAAAGGCCGGACATTGCCCGAGGCTTTGTAATAGTTAAAGAGGATGTGGTGGAATTTTGGGAAAGCGTTGCAAGATTTAAAGCAACACAATATTTAGTTGAATGGACGCTCTTAAAAAGAGGGAGCATATATTTATCATTTAAGCTAAATGGATCAGAACTGTCTCGTAGCAATCTCCTTTGTATATTAATGCAACAGTTGACTGCAGCATGTTCTTCCTCCTGAGACAAAAGTGCACCGGCCACTGAATCCATTCTATTTTACTTAATTAAGGAAAAGCTTTTTCAAATACGATTAAACAATTTTTTTTTAATTTCACTGTTCACTTGCGATTATATTTATTTTGATTTGTTTCTGTCAAAGCAGCTGATTAAGAACTTCGAATTTCACTAGTTTAGTTGGTAACGCCGTTTATAGTTACGATCGGATTACAGCATACCAATTTTCGAATTTTCGGAACAGAGCTACGAATTCGTAACTACGAACCTTCGGATTACAGAATAGGGGTGATGGAGTTTTGTTGAAATTCTGGTGTTGCATATTTCATGAGATGGTAACAAAATTTACCGGTTACAAGAGTGCAGAGAATTTGAAAAAGGTTTAAAAATTGACAGTAACTTTACTAACGCCGAATAGGCCTGCAAGAATCTCTTTCCTAGAGACGTCAGACAGCCTACTGATTACCAAATTGTCTCAAAATCCATATCGAACAAACGTCACTTTTAGTGACTAGAGACTGCTTACTGAAGGCCAGGGTTAATGTCAAGATAATGCTGAGTGAAACTACCTTCTTTTTTGTCATGGTCGGCCCTATCGCGAATTTCGCGTGAACAGATATTCCCAAAAATTGTAAAGCAAAACAAAAACCATTTCCCTCGAATCTGTTTTTGTTTTGCATGTCGAATTATGGGAACAATTTATTCACATGCAATTAGTGTTTCGTGCATATAACAATTCTAAACTCACATAGCTGTACTTTGAACTAAGCGACATAATGCGTTTTCATCTTTTTTGGGCAATGATTGGGCAAATTCACTGCTAAGGTCGTCAGAGTTTGTTTGCCCTAGAGCTGGACTGTTGTGAATTGCAGGATCAGCTAGCAAGTAAGTCCTCTCGTTTGGTTCATAATGGAACTGGAAAAATATGAGCATTTATTAAACAAACTTATAGCTTTCCTAAATACAAAACCTGGTTATCAATATCTTCTGCACAACGCAAACACCTGCAAAATGTACTCAAACAATTCCAAAACGGACGTAAATACTCCATACCAAAAAACTATGTGTTCTCACTACGGATGCCGAAAAAACATCGATGCATCGAAAATATCGATGTTTCGTTTCGATGCATCGAAAATTTTCCACTCGATGTATAAATAGTCGATGCATCGAGGCGTCGAAGCATCGATGTTTTCTGTAAACTGAAAACGCAAGCACATCGAATGGCCGACCATCGCTTTGTCTGTAGTGCATAGAGAGCAAGATGCAGTTTTATACTGTGGCGAATACCGCGGCAACACAAAGCGAACAACGAGAAATAGGCAGAATGTTCGAGGAATGACGTAGAATGTTCCACAAAGAGAAACGTCAAGTTGGATGAACACTGCGAACAGCGAGAGAAAGAGAATGAGCGATAA